CACTAAACGGTATAGAATACTTTTAGTGGTGAAAAAAGAACAAATGAAAATTACTGATAGAATATCAATGTTCCACTAAGACGTATTTCATCTAACTTTCGAAAATATGATGCTCTTTGGGTGATGAAATCTGTTGAATCCATTGGTACACATATTGTACTTGTTCGTCTGTATGAGAATCCAATTTTCTTCATTACTCTCCAAAGTGATGTAATACTTTTCACCGGAAAGTTTGGATTGTCGATGAGAATGTGAGTAAGCAATTTGCATGTATTTGGATATATCTTTTCGGCCAACAGAAGATGGAAATAGTACCTAAACAATCGAGATCAAGTATTGAAATGGAAAAGATAAATCATAAGAACTGGCCTTATTAAGTCTTCTTCGTACTCAGTTAAAGAAATTTTTAAATTGGCAGGACCACGACGTTTGACTGGTGATTTAGCAGCTGGACGAGGCGTATTCGTACTTCTGGACTGGTCAATTGTTGGTATCGTGTAAGGTGAAGATGATCGTCGACGTAAACGCGCGTTTTTATTTTCTTTGCGCAAGTACAAATGGTCGTTGTTGCTTAAGTAACTGCTGTTCAAGAACTTTTTGTTGTTCTTCTTCTAACTGTTTTAATTCATTTTTCAAATTAACCAGAGAACCATGCGATATTTGAAGTGCCGCCATTATACGATCATTGGCATTACATAATGGTATGGTTGCTCCATTTTTTTCTCCTTCGATAAATTTAATTACATTGAACATCAATTCTTTTGTTTCTTCATTGTAATGTTGGCCTCTTGGCATTGTTGTTTTCAATCTGAAGCAGAAAAATTACAAATCACAGCACGACCTATCCAAAAATTAACCAACATCGAACGAAATGGTTAGTAAATTTATATACGTATGCAAATAAAAGGAAAAAAAAGGGAGAATATATTCAAATACACTTTCACCATTTGAATTGTCCATTCCAGCTTCTCCCTCCTTCTTCTATCTATTTTTTCGAACGATGTCGCTAAATATAAAGAACTGTCTTCTTGAACTGTGGAACGAGTCTTTTCTTTTCCTTTCTTTTCTTACTTCATGTCCTTTCTCATAGAAATATACTCTATATTGAAGCGGTGTTCCCAATCATCTTTCTTTTTTTTCTAATTATTTTTTTCTGTGAACCTGTAATGCCACAATAAATTGAATTCAAAAAGCAAAAAAAAAACATTATATATCAATATAAAATGATGACCCGTCGCTATCATTGTAATCCATTGCGACCCTCCACAACTGTGTTTCTTCACAGTTCGCTTGTAACTTTATCTTACTTTTTTATTATCTGCATAGATTGTTTATAGATCTTTTAGCACTGGTTCAAAACAAAACAATATTTATTTTGGTAACGCGATGAATTGCATCGTTTGTGCAATAGAATCACATTAAGTGTACATTGTTGAATACATACCAGCACAGTAAAAGTTCATCAATAAAACTAACTAAAGATATTGGTCCATTATCATCAAAAACTGTATTTTCAGTTTGCTTTAATGATATTCTAAGTAAAAAAAAGACTCTGAAGGCTAATAATCATGTCAGGAAATCAAAGACTACTAAATATTACAGAAGAAAATATTTTTTATTCGCTTAAATTTTGAAAACAAAACTGGTTACTAGCCTTCAGTAAAACCTTCGCATTTTTGAAACGCGGACAGCTATCGATCTTGACCTTGCGTGGATCGATAGCGGCGAAGACAAGCTATCTTTCTATTATATTATAATTAAAAAGGCATGTTGTATTTATATCAGATTTGGCTCATCTTCAAAGATCATAGTGTATTCAAGAGGAAAAATGACTGAAATTTTTCATTGACCATATGAAAAGATACAGCCACCTCGACTCTATCTAGTGTATAAATATCAGCTCTTTATCTTTTGTCATTATGGAGTTATTCAAAAAATGCCCACGGCCATCTATCTCTGAAATGGACATTAATTTTTGATACGTATCAGTCAAAAATATTGTGTTGATAATTCTTCAGAGGTAACTACTTTTTAATCTCTATTATAGGCAAAATAGACATAAGGTTGAGCACTCTTTTATGTGCTTCTAATTTTGGATACGCTGGAGTAAGAAAATGTCTTTTTGATTAATCATGACACGTTTAAGTTTGAGGAGCTACCGGGACTTATTGTTTTGGGATTTATCTTTTCTGCGGGATTTATTTATTCAATAGGGATCTATTAATTACGATCATATTTTTAACACATTAACACCCACATCTACGCTCACACTCTCATTCTCATCTTCACCCTCACTGTTACTCACACTCACACTCTCACCCACAAATTCTATGTATTGAGAAATCATATGGGATTTATCCCAAAGTGCTTAGGGACTTATTGAAAAGTCCCGATAAATTCCAACAAAATAAGTCCCGGTAGCTGCTGTAATGTTTGAGGCTCGGTTATATGTGGAGCCGTTAGAAGTTTCATGTGTGTCTTATCTGCTCGTCACTATTGGTTAGAGGGAAGAAACAGAGTTATTGTTAGTGGATTATCAGAGGTAACTGCTTTTAGTCCCTGTCGTTCGTTGAGCGATATAAGTTTGTTGTCTCTTTCACTGAGTTTTTGTGCTTCATGTGCAGGAAGAAGGAGAACATCCTAGTGAGCGACTGTGACATGTCATTGATTTTCAGTGCTTGGTGAGCATAACAGCGAGTAGCAATTTGATTCCTTCTAACTGCTGCTTCTACTTTTTCGAGGCACAACAGAAAATAGAATCGCCTATAGATTGAAATATCAGGGGGAGTCAAGATTCGTGTGCGTTACATGTACAACAAAAGTAATTCTTTAGACTGGGGCGTGTACTCCTAAGGTTTTCGTAGGTGGTGTGATGCGCATTCGTGCCTAAATGGTACTCTGAAAGCCGCATGTCGAGTAGAAAAAACACGAAACAAAAATTGGAACCAACATTGTAGCAGCGAAGAAAGATACGGCAGAAAACTCTTATCTGAATCGTAAATGTTAGCTGGAAAGAGAGTATCGTGTTAAAAAAGGCGAGAAAGACAAGCAAGAATTTGTTCTGGGTTATAAGTTATAATTGAGTTGAGACCGTTATGTTAGAGAAGTACAGAAGCGGAACATAAGTCTTACCCCAGTTATAAAGTACAGTTGGAATTTGATCATTCTGTTGCAATAATGAGAAACGCAAAGGTAAAGCTTTTTTTTAAATGATTACTTATTACTGAGATGTGAGTGTCTTGTTACAAAAGCAAAAGAAACGAAACATAAATTCATGTCAGTGATTCCAATATAATTGAGATGGGGCTATCGTTATGGAAAAGCGGGAAAAGCCAAACCTAGTTTTTATCTCAGTTGTTCCTTATAATGAAAATGCGACTTTCCTGTTGAAATAGCTCAAAAGGCAACAATAGACTTTATTTGAATGATAAGTTGTTATCTAGATGAGACTATTGTGATAAGACAGGACAAAATTCACAGGTAAATTATAACTCTAATATAGAAGATATTTCGCCTGAAGACTATGTTGTTCATGACTTGTCAAGCATCTCTGAAGTGTCTGACAGAAGTCCTGAACATCCTTAGAAAGTGTCTAGGGGAACTAAAGACAATTTGAAGCGGATTTAGAGTGCCTTCAGTGGACTGTGAGAGCATACCCAGGAGATCCTGAGAAGAGCTTCAGGAATTGTAGAAAGGATTTTTGGGGGATCATCAGAGGATCTCTGGATGATATATTGAAGATTACGAGTGGATCTTCAGACGGTCCCGTGTATTCACAGTTTATTTTCAGGTGGTCTTCACAGTGTCTGGCGCGGTGCCGTCAAGATTGGCATTGGTTTTACAGAAAGTTCTACATGATTCTTGGGTATCTTCTGAGTGGTTTTGTTCGGAGCTATTGTGTGAGATTGGATGTTAGAGGAAACGGCTCTATTCATCAGTAGTACGTGGTGCAAAAAGTCATCTGCCCACATCAATAAAATTTTATTTCACGGTAGCGGTTTGTGGGTACGTACGTTCCCTGAAGAGTCGCGACCAATGCTCGTCTCTGTGTACACAACGAGTGGGTCTACATAATTACCGCTTTGAAATATTTTTCGGATAAAGCATTTCTTTGCCATGTTTTTAATGTTGGCCATCGAACGCGGAGAATTTGAATTATGTTGAAACTCTAATAACGCGTTTGCTGCCTTGGAGATCATCTCCGAATCTTCTGAAGATGCTTTCCAAACCCATGGAGATGCTCTATAGATACTCCGGTTACCTTCTGTGAATCTTCTAGAGGTCTTTTTTCAGTCAGGAATTCGAGTCATTACGTCAGTTATAATTTTCAATTGAGATAAAATTTATCTTCATGGCTTTTAGCTATTCTAATAGAATAGTCTGATCTCAATTATAATTATAATCAAGATGAATATTATGACTTTTGCTCTTTGGCTACACTAGTGACCAGAAGTCCAAACAGGCCACTAGGCCTGACCTGTCTCGATAAAATTTCATTAAAAAATCATATTTTCTAAAAAGAATGTTCATACAAATGATATATTGAGGTACGTTTTATAGTGAACCATCAGAAATGATTATTTATCATTTTGACTTAATAAAATTCTAACGATTAACATACGATGATCGCTTTGTTTATCGCTCACTCGTTGATGCAGTTTCGTTGTACGTTGAACTAAGTTATTGTCTACTGCTTTTGATCGTTTATTAACGTATTTTATATAAACTGTCAATAGTTTTAGCCATTTCCTGCTTAATATTTATGTTGCTGCAATATATCTAACCTTGATAAATGATTTTCTACTACTTCGTCGAAGTTATTCAGAATGCTTTTAATGAAATAAAGTTTTCGTTTCAATTCTTGATGTTTTCTGCCTATTTATTCTCTATAGAGACAGATAGAACTGAATTAATAACTATGCTACCTATTATCGGAGTTTTAAAAGAAGTTGTTAGCTCGTTTCGACGAGCTGATGTTTATTTATTTCAAAATATATCTGACTGAATATCTATAAATGTCCTTGATCACGTACATATATATATATATAAATCACACAACATGAAAGAAGAAAGAAAAAGAGATATGTAACAATAACAATAACCGTAAGAAGAAAGAAAAGGAAAAAGGTAGAAAGACATCGAGGTACAGAAATGAGGATTACTCACCGCTAACATTTCTCCCCTCCTCCATTAGATGTGTGTCCACACACATGATTGTTAGGTTCATATAATGAAATTTTAATCATAATTGTTATTTGTGTAAAACCAAGTATAACTAATGATAATAAACGTTTTTGTACGTATAGTTGAATCACGTAATACCGTTTCAATAACTAATGGAAATCCAATTTGTTCAAATGTTTCAAATAATTTTAAAGAAATCGTGTTTCTATTCGTGAATCAATCCATCATTGTTCAATACGTGCTAATAAACATGTATTTATAGCAACACATTGATTTTCATTTAATAAATTATTTGTTTTAACTATATTTATTAAATAATTGAAATAAGCATTCTAACTTGTTAACCATAATAAATTATCATTAGATTTAGTTGAATATATTTTATAATCAGCTATTGTAAAAATATATTCATTTGGAAAATCGCCAAATAATATATGTTGAATTGTTCGATAGTAAGTTAAGATGATTTTAACATGTTGGATAAGTAGAAGATTTGATATTGAATACGAAGTAATGACGTTTATCAGTAATGAGTCTTCATCAATTTTTAATTATTATCATATGAATAATAATATAATTAAGATTTATCGATTGTTGGATGTGCTAGATAT